AAGAGATAACACTCTGATATTCAAACTCCAAGAATCTCTTTCCAGACTAACAGTTTTATTGGGTCCCTGTATATATATATATGAAGTTTAAAAATTTTTAAGCCTTACATATATGAAGGTCATTTTATTACTTTTTAATCATATTAATCTGACAAAAAAAATGCCCCTTAGGATCTAGAACTTTCTTCAATGCCGTATGTATGCGTGGAAAGGGAAAAATATTTTTCATTAAGTTTTCCTAAGAGATTGAGCTTAAATACTGTTCCTTAAACATTTTCTCCTTCCTTATTGAACTTAATTTTATAATGAATGAGTAGAAAGAAAAACAGGGGAAAGAAAAATGAATGGTTAAAGAGGAAAGGGAAAATGGATGCAGTGATCCCTGAAGTTTAAGTAACAGGCTCTTTAAGTCGGGTCAATTTTTTGCCCCCTTTTGACTCTTTAAATAAGATGTATATGCTGGTGGATGTTTCGAGTTTTAAATGATGAGCCAAGGAGTGTAATGCATCAGGAGAGTGTTTCTCTGCAGACATTTTTCTGAATGAGGAATGTACCACCCAGAATGTGCTACAAAATGTTAATGGCTTTCAGGCTATACAAATTTGAACTTTATTGAAATGTGCTAATAAAGATAGGGATTGTAAAATTATATACCGTGTTGCTCAATAGTAGGAGCAAAGCCCAGGGAATAATGCATCATCTGGCCATGTGGAAGGACCCCAGGCTTTTGGCAATTGGGGGGTGGGTACCACTAACCTTTCTCTTGCTGGAAGCTTTTCACACACCCCAGCAGTGAGGGGAATTCACCTTGACTTTGATAATGAGATTAATAGCTAACCCAAGAGGAAGGGATAGCCACAGGGAGTAGGCCGTTTAAAACTCATATTTTGCTGAGCTTTAAATTTAATGGGTTGGTCACATTTAACCACCCTGACTCCCCTTTCCTCTTCAACACAAATCAAGAGAATCACCACTCAGCAGCAGGCAGGGATAAAATTCTATCAAAGTTTTGAAAGTCAATCCCTGCCATTTACAAAATGTCCATTTCCTACATGGAAATAAGATACCCTGTCTCTTAATGGCATGTGATGTTCATCTCTGGCTTCTTACAAAGAACTGTGCATCTTCTGTGATTTTTGAAACATAACCATTGCACCAGGACATTATACTATTGTGTAATTCAGTTTTGGTTTCATCTGGAAAACATTTCTTTCAACTTTTGGTTCATAATTGTATTCCATCTTGGCTCAACAGTCTTGCCATATTAGGTGGGGGCAGCTCCCAGATGGGATCTCCAGCGGCGGTAACCCAACACAGTAGCTGCCCAACACAGGTGCACAGTGCGACCAGAAAGCTGCCCACGGAAGCCCCAGGAGCCTCAGTGTGAAAGGTTCCTCAACTGGGAACTTCTAGGGGAGAGGAAGATGGGGCTAACAGAGAGACCTGGAACTGGGAAATCTCCAGGCAAGAGGGGGAGATAGTACCAGGCACACAAGTCATATGAGTGGTCCTAAAAAGAGACTTGTGAGGGGCAGTCTCCCTGCAGGGACTGGCAGGGACTTCCAAGTACCCTGCACCAGGACCAGTCTTCCCACCCTGGATATCTCACCATCCTTAGGACAGAGACTCCAGCTTACAACAGACAACCTCACCTATTGGATGAGAAGAGAAGCAGAAAAGATAAGGATTTCTAAAACTAGCAACAACCTGGTTTCTTCCTTCGAGTTTTTTTTTCCCCTCTTCATAACTGTATTCTAAAAATATTTATTTTTAAGCTTCACTGTCAAGCTGAAGTTACCTTCTGATGGAATGTATCAAGGGTTTATATGACATGTTTTATACTCCCCAGAAGTCATCCTTAATTGGTACTTTGCTGATTCTCATGTGTTTTGGTTTTGCCAAAAGGAAGCTTAAAGAATAAGCTATCACTGAGATGGTAATAGTAGGTAAAAATAGGGGATATTATTTTAGACAAATGCATCAGGCTGAATCTCAGTTCCCATTCTCTTTTGAAGATATTGCCATGCTTTTAGCTATCCATTATTTACCCTCACAAAAACGTGAAGCTGGAAAGTGAACCCTGCCATTTATCTCCAATGCTCACTTAACAGAAATAAATGCAGCCACCACCTTCCAACTCCAAATGATACAAGATGGAGTGCCTGAATTACAAACTATAACCTTGACAAGGTGTCTCCATCACTTGTCTGGGAGATTCAGTCAGTCAGCATCTAATCAGACACTGGGAAAAAGTACATCTAGAATACTCTGAATCCAGTGTGGAGAGTGGGGTTTATACTTAAGGAGCAATTTGATTGGTTAGCAAGAGATTGCTTGATTAATGGGGCAGAACTCTTGAGAATCAGAGGAAAATGCTGATTTTGACTCCTTATCACCGATTTCTATAATACTCTATTATAGTGTGTGTGTGTGTGTGTGTGTGTGTGTGTGTGTGTCCCCTGCTAATAATCACAATGCTCAGCACTGAGGTAGCTAAAGTTTCATTTTGGCTTCTTCCCTTTTTCCTGCATGAATACCATCTCTTAGGAGAATAATAAATGAGATCAGACTTATAAAATGCATAATGAATTCAAAATTTTACTTTTGTCATTTCAACTTGAATATATAACACAATTTTAAATAAATAAGTCAAAGTCTGATACATATTGTGGATCTGATTTTAAGGATGGCAACACATTGGGAATGTGAATTTTCGGCCATCTAAAGTTATATTCGATACATATATACAAAAGCCTATACTTCTGAATATGTCTCTAAGGTATGGAATAGTTATTTGTCCATTTGCAGCAAAGAGACAGATCAAAGATTACCAACAAACTAATATGACTAATGAATTCATTCAATCTCATGCATTATTTGAATTTAAATTACAAAGATTGTGCATGATTAAGTTTCTGGATTGGATCTCCTATATTACGTGTGCACGTGAACATGTGAGCTAACACACACACACACACACACATACAAAGACAGACATTGTGAAGGAATTTGCTTAACAAACACCTATTTAGTTCTAATTATGTGTTAAGCTGTGGCATTAAGAAATTTATATTAACTTATTTCATCTTTATAATTACCATCGAGTACTTTTATTATGTTGCTATGCACATTTTAAAGGTGAGTAAACGTACTTAGAGACCCACTAAGCAACTCAACCAAAATGAACAGCTAGTATGTGGCAGATAGAAGATTCAAATCCAGGCAAGCTGGCCATGGGGGACATGCTATTCTTTAACTCATAAGGATTAAGACCAGAAGTATTTATGCACAAGAGATACTTTTATTGGCTGATGTCAGCAATTTGGTGACAAAAAATTTAATTTTCTTAGGTACCACTGTTATGTTCTCATTCTAATAGAATTGTTAATTTAATTGAATGACTACCACCATTGTTCAAGATGGATTTGCATTTTATCTCATTTAAACATCACAACAACATGCACAGGCATTTTTTGTTACATTTTACAATTAGGAAACTGAGAATCAGAAACTAAGTAACTTTCCCAAGTTCACATTAAAAGCAAGGACACATTCTTGTCTGCCTGTCTTCCGATTTTATTCTTTAGCACATTCCACATTTTCTGAATATTCTGTTTGGTTGGTTGATTTGAACTGTGGGTTCTTTTAGGAAACTTACTGAAATTATATTTTGTTTTCTCCTAAGTAAAGCTTTGAATAAATTTTTATACTTCACATTTCTCTAGGATGGTTTGGTAACTGTCAAGTACTCAGAAACAGATTATCACAAGTAGATCGTAAGAAGAAACAGTGCCAAAGAGAAGAGTTCAACCAACTTTATCCACTTCAATGACACATTCACATATGAAGACTTTATCAATTGAATAAATTAATGTTAGCAGTCCAAATAAACATGAATTTATTAAAAATCACTAATAATTTGGATCAAAATTGCAACTGTTGTCTTTGACTACCATTAAATTGAAATACCAATATGAAGCCTATATTTAACATTTAAAAGAAAATTATATGTCTCTCACGGTTTAGGATTCATGACCACTTAATTCTGTGCTAAATAACATTCTAGTGACCCTACTACAGGAAATTCTAAAAGATTAGCAGTTACAGATTGTCAGGACACCAAACCTGCCTCTCTAAGATTTTAGGCAATAGGTATAATATGGATATATGAATAGGCATAATCTGTCCATTCGCTCTCTCTGGTAATATACAATTATTGCATTCCCAGTAATTCATAATTCAGTACCCTTGAGTTTCCATCAGCATTATGAGCTGGAGATGTCATGAATGCTGCAAAGTAATTGTCATCTAGATCTATCTATTGGTTGATTGATTGATCTGTTTATCCACAGATCTAAATATCTTTCTATCCATCTACCTATCATCTAGCTGTTTTTGTTCTGTAACTTTTCCTTTTCTCTACTTATCCATTTTCTCCAAATTAAAGCATTGAGGTCTTTCTTTTCTCTTTGCTCTGACATATTTAATAGACTAGCAGGCAGGGAAAGAGTTATGAGATTTTACCTTCACAAGCTTCTGTCCTTAATGTAAACTGAGAAGACACCAGACATAGAGATTAGGAATTTTTCACCTATCGTTGGCTAAGCTTCTAGTATCTCTAGCACTATGATATCCCCTTCCCAAATTCAGTTTGATCTATTTCCACTTTGTTGAAGTGGCTTAGCAGTAAAGACAGACCCAGGTTGAAGGAGAAAGGACAGCAGGAAGGAAAGTGAGAAGCTTTGGAAGCTAATGGGTGCCCAGCAATGAGTGGGCCTACACCTTGAGTTCTGGGAAGATCCTGAGGATGGTGGAGTCCACTGGGTACCTCAAAACCCACTGCTAGCGGAAAAACAGGTATAAAGTAAAGAGGCTAAAGCAGCATCACAGAGATGCCTCCTCCTAGGTGGAGAATAGAGGATGATTCCCTTGGTCCCAAGCACATCACAGATGTGTCATTGAGAGCTATACATGCAATAAAGAATGACTTAGCATCTTACCTGAGTGCAAAAAAATGGTAAAAACATCCTCCCACCCATTGGCATTCCGTTAGGTTAGGTTGCTGCAACTTGAACACAGATTCATCGATGCATAAGGACTCTGAGAAGTTACTTTGTCACATGCTTCCATTCTAGCAGATTAAGGATATAAAATCAAGTTAGTTAATAAAAAACGATTATAATTCTTAATATACATGAATTTTGTAGCCTGAGATTTATACCATCTTCCATATTAATCAGAGATCTTTATTCTCTGCTGTTACCACTACCTTTCCCACAGTTAATTTCTTATGAACTGATTTTATACTAGTTTTTTTTTAAATCTTTCTCCACTTTTACAACTAACTCTTCTAAAGGATGCCTTACCATAAAATTTCTGAGTCCTAGTGACATTGTTCTTTCCAATGTATCACACTTCCCCTTCCAAATCCACACCTAAGGATTGGAAAGGCAAGGGGTATGCTTCTGTGTTTCCCCAAATGACTGGATGGCTAGTCTTACCTCTTACTGTGAACCCTGGTTTGTCTGCCTGTTTGGCCTGAAGCTCAACTTGACCTTCACTCCATGTCTTCCACTCCTTGTCTGTGTATATTCTTTGAGGAAAGTCATGGTCTCTACCCTTCTGTTCTCCTTGAAAAGCAGTTTTTTATATTTCTGACTTACAAATATTAATTTCTAATTCTTTCCTATGTACATCTTTAGAAAGCTTGCTGGGGAGGGACTAGGCATCTGTTGAAGATTCAGTTAGTAGAAGTTAGTTGGGAAGCGCTCAGAATATTCTAAAGCAGTTTGGGAGTTGGGCTGCCAATGAACAAGGAAGATCTTGGGAATTATGGGACCTAAGTTCAAAAGCCAGCCTGACAGACTCCTGTGGCTGATTCCCAAATCTGTGTTTCCCAAAACATTTAATCCCTTCATCAAGATTTTTGTTATGTTTTGTTTTGTTTGTTTTTTCTGTGAAACTTATAAGTAAGTAAATGAGAGAACAACTTGATGATTTTCCCTTAAATTTTTCCCTATAGGTATAAGTATGAAAGTTACTTCTTTTCTTGATTTTAACACAAAACTAGTGTGTGTGTGTGTGTGTGTGTGTGTGTATATATACAGAGACACATATACATATATATACATATATATATTAAACATATATTTTGTAATAAATAAAAATGTACCCTTATTTCAAGATCTGGAGACAGAATACCCTTCAGACCCTGAATGTCCACAACTTTCCAACAGGAAAAGTTGTTCACCAAGCTGACCTGCTTCTGTGACTATCCAGGCTTATTTCTTATATGCAAGACAAAAGACTCTTATGTATAAAGTTAGAGAAAGTTCCCCAATAAAAATCATCTTCTTTAAAATACTGTTTAAAAGGACTGCAACCCATTAAACTTTGTTATTAAATTATTTATTCTCACGTGTAAGCCTTTTGACAAATGAATGTATTTTCATAGCTAAGGTTAAATTAAGAAGGCTTCATGGTATTGTGAGGAATTTGGGTGCTTATAACCACAGAAGGGACAGATATAAATTCTGTAGATGTTGGCTAAACTTGGCACAACTTGGATTAAATAAATGCACAGATACATATTTCAATATTACATTTGCCTCAAAACAGTGCACTAATACTTACTTTAGAAAGATTTCATTGTACAAAAATCACCTTAAGTGAATTTGAGATACTTATTTTCCCCACTCTTAGTCAAGTCTATAGGAAAAGGATAGTTTCTATCCCAAATTATTTTCAGTGTTAATGCATATTAGTCCTGTACTCAATAATTAGTTATTTGTCTCTATATCATGAAAGACTAAGTCATTGAATAAATGATGTGAATATTTAAGCTCTTAAAATTCTTATTAGCAAAATTTCCTATTATGTTGCTGATTGTTTCTGCAATTTATTAAAAATTATATGACCAAGACCCTTAGAAGAAAAACCTGATTATTTTTTCCAACAAAAGCTCATCGGATCTTTGTAATATCTTTGAAAATATCAAAATCATAAGAATTGTCTAATAAAACATTTCTCAGTACATAAGCACAAAACTCTTCAGAGTTTAAGGAATTATCAATTTAAGATAAAATGTCATATTTATTGCAATACTTGCATTTCTTGACCATTTAAAATGTATAAAATTGTGCAACTCTTTTAATTATGTTCCTTTTTCATGGGTCTCTGACAAAGTGTTTGAGTATTGTGTCCTAACCCCATTTTTCTCAAGTCTTTTGCTCTTTTATTGTTATGTGAACTTTTAAGTTAACGTAGTTAAATTACTTGACTAATGCTTCCAATTGTTAAGAAAACGAGCTGGGTATAGTGGCACAAACGTATAAGTCTGAAGATTGGGGAGGCTGAAGCAAGAGGTGGCCAGCCTCATCATATTAGGAGACCCTCTCTCAAAAAAAGTGGGTGGGCAGGGGTTGGAGCTTAGTGGTAAAGAGTCCCCGGGTTTAATCCCGCACCCCCCCCAAAAAAAAAGAAAAGAAAAGAAAAAAGAAAGAAAAATGCAAAAGAAGAAAAAAGAAAAGAAAGTAAGCAGACAGAGCTCTTAAACCCTTGCCCTGTTTAACCAGTGCTTACATCTTGAAAGACAAAATGTCACAAGTGAAATAATGGCATCAGTACAGTTAATACACAGAATATTTTCATCCACAAAGAGATTCCTTATGTAGCATTTTTGAACCCACTATGTTTCCTCTAACTAGACTCCTACTTTAACCCACGGCAACCACTGATATCCTCTCCATTTGAAGAAATTTTCCATTTCAGGAAGGCTATGTACATGGAATCATAATATGTAACCGTTTAAGACAGACTTTTGTTCACTGGGGATAATCCCCTGGAGCGTCCTCTAAGCTATTCTTGTATATCAATAGTTCTTTCATTTTTTTTTTTTTTTTTTGGGTACTGGGGATTGAACTCAGGGACACTCAACCACTGAGCCACATCCCCAGCCCTATTTTGCATTTTCATTTTTTTTGTTTTGTTTTAAATTTAGACACAGGATCTCACTGAGTTGCTAAGCACCTCACCATTGCTATAGCTGGCTTTGAACACACAATTCTTCTGTTTCAGCATCCTGGGCCACTGGGGATTCTTTCATTGTATTGCTGAGTGTTTCCTGGTTCCAATGTAGCATATTTTTTAAACACTTTACCTATTGAAGGACATCTTTCTTTTTTTTCTGGTTTCTGGATATTATGAATAAAGCTGCTATCAATATTTGTGTTTCAGGTTTTTGTTCTTGTGTGAACATAAGCCTTTGTTTCTCTGGGATAAAGCAGAGGAGTTTAATTATTGGATTGTATGAAGATTACATAACTGGGGTTTTTTTAAATGATTTTTTAGTTGTTGATGCACCTTTCTTTCTTTCTTTCTTCCTTTCTTTCTTCCTTTCTTCCTTTCTTCCTTTCTTTATATGTGGTGGTGATAATTGAACCCAGTTCCTCACAAATGCTAGGCAAGGGCTTTACCACTGAACCACAACCCCATCCCCTACATAATTGGATTTTAAAAACATTTCTAAGGTAGTTTTTAGTGTGACTATACCATTTAGCTTTCCCATCTGCAATGTGTGAATGATCTAGTTTTTGACACCTTGCCACCCACTGGAATTGTCACTGTTTTTTTGTTTGTTTATTTTTGGTTTTTAGCCATTCGGATATGTTTGTAGAGATACCTCATTGTAGTTTCAATTTGCATTTTGCTGATGGCTAATAAGGTTGTGCTCATTTTTATCTGTGTATCTCCATCAGTTAAATGTCTCTTTTGCCCATTTTCTGCTTATATTTTTTATGCTTTTACTATTGGGGTTTGAATGTGGTTAATATACTCTAATTTTTGTCAGATATGAGCTTTGCTAGTATTTTCATCCACTCTGTAGTCTTTCTTTATGTTCACAGGTTCTCTAGTGGAACAAAAGATTTTATTTTTGTTAAGTACAATTTCTCAGCTTTTTCTCTTATGAATTGTACTTTGGTGTTGAGACTAAGAATGCTTGGTTTAGCCAGAAGATCCTCCTATTTTTTTTTCCGAAAACATTATTTGTTTTATGATTTCAATTTGAGTCTATAAACTACTCCAAGTCAATTTTTTTTATACAATATCATATTTGGCTCAAGGTCCTTTGCTTTTCGTTTTTCTATGGATGTCCCATGTGTCAGCACTATTTGTTGAAAAGTCTATCCTTCCTCAACTGAATTGCTTTTATAACTCTGTCAAAAACTAATTGTGTGGGGCTGGGGATGTGGCTCAAGCAGTAACATGCTCGCCTGGCATGCGCGGGGCACTGGATTCGATCCTCAGCACCACATAAAAAATACAATAAAGATGTTGTGTCCACCGAAAACTGAAAAATAAATATTAAAAAATTCTCTCTCTCTTAAAAAAAACTAATTGTGTATAAATACATATATGCATGCATACATATTGTATACATGCATATATGTACATGTTTCTTGGTTCCCATTTGTCTATGTGTATTTGGTCCATGCCACATAGACTTTTATTACTATAGATACAAAATACATCTTGAAATTAGGTAGATAACATCATGTACAACAATCAGACTTCGATCCTAAAGAGAAGATGTACTCTAAGATGTACTCCATGTTTATAAACATAAGTCAAATTATACTCTACTATTATGTAGAGTATAAAAAGTATATTTTAAAATTTTTTTTGTTCTCTAGTGTTATGCAGCATATATAAAGAATAAAAATTTAAAAATAAAAAAAAGAAATTACATCTTCACTAGGTAAATATTTCACATGGAATAATCTCTTGGCCTCTTTTAGAATCCTGTGCCTGTTTTTCCATTCAATACAATATTTTATGTTCTTAAAAAAGGAAAAAGAAAAAATATAGGTAGATAGATTTCACCCACTTCATTATTCTTCTTCAAAAATGTTTTAGCCTTGTCTTTCAATCTAAAATTTTAGAATTTATCTTGAATGTCAATATGATTTGCCTTTCAGTATAAATTTTAGAATTATCTTGTATATCATCAACAAAAAAATTTGGTGGAATTTTAATAGAGATTACATAATACCTTTATATGAAATTTGAAGAACTGCATCTTTATTATGCTGAATCTCCTAATCCATGAACATGCCTCTATATTCATTTAGACTTTCTTTGTTTGCTTTCATCAGCATGATGTAGGTTTCAATATACAGTTTGTACATGTTTTGTTAAATTTATACCTATGTATTTTATTTTCTGTAACTTCAAATGTTATTTTAATTCTAGTGCACATCTATCCAATGCTGGTATATAGAAATTCAGTTGAATTTTGGATGTTTATTTATATCTGGTGACACTGTTGAATCATATATTAGTGTCAGAAAGTATTTCTAGAGTTCTTGGAATTTTGTACATATGCAAATATATCAATGGCAAATGACAGTTGTTTATTTCTTCCTTTCCAAGTTTTTTTTTTCAATTGTTTTCTCTCTTCTTCCAGTCCTGTGTTGAATAAGAATTGGTGAATAAGAATTAGAAGTCTTATTCTGCATCTTAGGAGGACAACATTCTCTCTTAGATAAGTTAGCTGTAGACTTACTACAGATGTTTTCTCAAATGGAGGGAGATCTCTTCTAATCCTAAAGTTATGAGCATTTTTATCATGACTGACTTTGAATATGTGTGTGTAGGTGTGTGTTTATTTATGTGAGTATGTGTGTGTATACATTTATATATATTTACATATAGGTATATACACACGTGTATACATATTTGAAATTGGC